GGCAGCCACCTGCGATCATAGCTGCATTCTGCCTTAGTCTACATGTTGCAGACGATGTCGCAGGTTATTGTCACACTGTGTGGTTGTTCCATGTTCACCTCTTGTTGTTAACTGTCCATGTCTGCTCCTTAAATGACTTCAGCACAACCCAGTTATGTGTCCATCTATACTAACAATAGAGGAATATGCATATTGTCCGGGATGCCCTCACAGTAACAGTAACAACAAAACAGGCTGTGTGGGGCGACCAGGCCAGCAGAGGGGTCAGTGTGGGACGAACAAATGACTGAACAACAGGCTGCGTGGGACAACCAGGCCGGCGGAGGAGAGCAGTTGGTGGTAACCAGGACAGCAGGGGGTAGGGGCTTTGAGGGGGACCAGCCTAGCAGGCAGAGGTGGTTAGGAGTGATCAGGCTGGCAGGGGGCGGGGGGTAGTTAGGGGCAATCATGCAGGCATGCAGGTGAGCAGTTAGGAGCCAGCAGTCCCAGATTGTGAGAGGAATGTCCAACTGCTAGGATTGGGCCTAAACTGGCAGTGGGACATCCCCCAAAGAGTCCCTGATTGGAGAGGGTGCAGGCTGGGCTGAGGGGACCCCCACCCATGCACAATTTCGTGCACTGGGCCTCTAGTTTAATAGAAATAAGTAACTTACTCCAAGGAGAACTCTCTGACACATGTGCAACCCCCAGGGCGGCCCAAATACTGCTTCCTGGATGCGGACAAGGGGCCCTGCCGTTTCTACTTCAAGAACTACTTCTACAACCACCGCTCCGGGCGCTGCGAGGAGTTCGTGTATGGAGGCTGCCAGGGGAACCTAAACAACTTCCAAAGCGAGGCCGAATGCCAGCGCTTCTGTGGGGACCCGGGTGCGTCTGCGCTCCTCTCCCTTCACTGTGTTTCCTGGCGTTTCAAACATATGGTGTCCTGAGGACAGGTGTGCCTGGCCTGTGTGTTCCCAGACTAGTGAGATGCATTTGTTTCCCCTGAATCTGATAGAAACTAGTCAGGATGTGAAAGAAATGTGTTAAAGCACAGAGAGCAACAAACCTGACTTCAGGGCCATGGTTTCCCTAGATGAACATTACATTTTTCATTCTCTGTTATTTCGTTTTGTTTCCCCAGAAAACCGTTGTCTCTAAGGGGTGAGAGCGGGGCTCTGAACTCCTGACCTTCACGGCCATTTCAGGACAGAGAACCTTCCACCTTGAAAATTGATCGTTTGATGTGCCCATGACAAGCAGTAACGGAGGGACAATCATGAACCCTCATAGCTTTGTTTTGTTTTGTTTTTTTTAGGTTTTTTTTTGTTTGTTTTTTTGTTTTTTATTTTTGGGTATTACATATGTGTCCTTTTTTTCCCCGCCCTTGACAATCCCCTGGCCTCCCCTACCCCCCAGTGTCTTATGTCCATTGGTTATGCTTATATGCATGCATACAAGTCCTTCGGTTGATCTCTTACCCCCTTCCCTCCTGCCCCCCAACCCTCCCCGGCCTTCCCGCTGCAGTTTGACAATCTGTTTGAGGCAGCTCTGCCTCTGTATCTATTATTGTTCAAAAGTTTATAATGGTCTCTATTATCCATGAATGTGTGAGATCATGTGGTATTTTTCCTTCATTGACTGGCTTATTTCACTTAGCATAATGCTCTCCAGTTCCATCCATGCTGTTGCAAATGGCAAGAGTTCCTTCTTTTTTACAGCAGCATAGTATTCCATCGTGTAGATGTACCACAGTTTTCTAATCCATTCATCTACTGATGGGCACTTAGGCTGTTTCCAGATCTTAGCTATGGTGAATTGTGCTGCTATGAACATATGGGTGCATATATCCTTTCTGATTGGTGTTTCTGGTTTCTTGGGATATATCCCTAGAAGTGGGATCACAGGGTCAAATGGGAGTTCCATTTTTAGTTTTTTGAGGAAACTCCATACTGTCTTCCATAGTGGCTGCACCAGTCTGCATTCCCACCAGCAGTGCACGAGTGTTCCTTTTTCTCCACATCCTCTCCAGCACTTGTCATTTGTTGATTTGTTGATGATAGCCATTCTTACAGGTGTGAGATGGTACCTCATTGTTGTTTTGATTTGCATCTCTCGGATGATTAGTGACTTTGAGCATGTTTTCATATGTCTCTTGGCTTTCTGAATGTCCTCTTTTGAAAGGTGTCTATTTAGGTCCTTTGCCCATTTTTTGATTGGTTTGTTTATCTTCCTTTTCTTAAGTTGTATGAGTTCCCTATAAATTTTGGAGATTAGGCCCTTATCAGATATGACATTGGCAAATATGTTTTCCCACGCAGTGGGTTTTCTCATTGTTTTGTTGATGGTTTCTTTTGCTGTGCAGAAGATTTTTATTTTGATGTAGTCCCATTTGTTCATTTTCTCTTTAGTTCCAAGTGCCCTAGGAGCTGTATCAATGGAGAAATTGCTTCGGCATATGTCTGAGATTTTGTTGCCTTTGAATTCTTCTAGAATTTTTATGGTTTCCTGTCGTACATTTAAGTCCTTTATCCATTTCGAGTTTATTTTTGTGTATGGTGTAAGTTGGTGGTCTAGTTTCATTTTCTTGCATATATCTGTCCAATTTTCCCAACACCACTTATTGAAGAGACTATCTTGGCTCCACTGAATGTTCTTTCCTCCTTTGTCAAATATTAATTGAGCATATTGGTTCGGGCCGATTTCTGGGTTCTCTATTCTATTCCATTGATCTATATGTCTGTTCTTGTGCCAGTACCAGGCAGTTTTGAGAACAGTGGCTTTGTAATACATCTTGATATCTGGTATTGAGATCCCACCTACTTTCTTCTTTCTCAGGATTGCTGCAGCTATTCGGGGTCTTTTTTTATTCCAGATGAATTTTTGGAGAGTTCGTTCTAGATCTGTGAAGTATGCCGTTGGTATTTTAATGGGAAGTGAATTGAATTTATAGATTGCTTTGGGTAGTATGGACATTTTAATGATGTTGATTCTACCAATCCATGAACACGGTATGTTCTTCCATCTGTTTATGTCTTCCTCTATCTCTTTTTTCAATGTCCTGTAGTTTTCTGAGTAGAGGTCTTTTACCTCTTTAGTTAAGTTTATTCCTAGGTATCTTAATTTTTTTGGTGCGATGGTAAATGGGATTGTTTTTCTAATCTCTCTTTCTGAAAGTTCACTATTGGTGTATAGAAATGCCTCAGATTTCTTGGGGTTAATTTTGTATCCTGCTACATTGCCAAATTCATGTATTAAATCTAGTAGCTTTTTGATGGAGTCTCTAGGGTTTTGTATGTATAATATCATGTCATCTGCAAATAAGGACAGTTTTACTTCCTCTTTTCCCATTTGGATGCCTTTTATTTCTTCTTCTTGCCTAATTGCAATGGCTAATACTTCCAGTACTATGTTGAACAGGAGTGGTGAGAGTGGGCATCCCTGTCTTGTTCCTGTTCTTAGGGGAAATGGTGTTAGTTTTTGTCCATTGAGTATGATGTTGGCTGTGGGCCTGTCATATATGGCTTTTATTATGTTGAGGTATGATCCTTCTACTCCCACCATGCTGAGAGTTTTTATCAAAAATGGGTGTGGGATTTTGTCAAATGCTTTTTCTGCATCAATTGATATGACCATGTGGTTTTTTTTCTTTCAATTTGTTTATGTGATGTATCACGTTTATTGATTTGCGGATGTTGTACCATCCTTGCATCCCTGGGATAATTCCTACTTGGTCATGGTGTATGATCTTTCTGATGTACTGCTGGATCCGATTTGCTAAGATTTTGTTGAGGATTTTGGCATCTATGTTCATGAGGGATATTGGCCTGTAATTCTCTTTCATTGTGTTGTCTTTACCTCGTTTTGGTATTAGGGTGATGCTGGCTTCATAGAATGAGCTTGGAAGTGTTCCTTCCTCTTGAATTTTTTGTAGTAGTCTGAGGAGGATAGGTTTTAGTTCTTCCTTGAATGTTTGGTAAAACTCCCCTGTGAAGCCGTCTGGTCCTGGGCTTTTGTTTGCTGGAAGCTTTTTGATGACTGCTTCAATTTCTTCCATAGTTATTGGCCTATTGAGATTTTTAGATTCTTCCTGATTGAGTTTTGGAATGTTGTATTTTTCTAGGAATTTATCCATTTCCTGCAGGTTGTCTAGTTTGTTGGAGTAGAGCTGTCCATAGTATTTTTTAACAATCATTTGTATTTCTGTGGGGTCTGTTGTTATTTCGCCTCTATCGTTTCTGATTTTGTTTATTTGGGTCCTCTCTCTTTGCTTCTTGGTGAGCCTGGCTAGAGGTTTGTTAATCTTGTTTATCCTTTCAAAGAACCAGCTCTTGGTTTCATTGATTTTCTGTATTGTTTTTTTGGTCTCTATGTCATTGATTTCTGCTCTAATCTTTATTATCTCCTTCCTTCTGCTCACTCTGGGGTTTTCTTGTTGCTCTCTTTCTAATTCTTTGAGTTGTAGAGTTAGATGATTTACTACCATTTTTTCCTGTTTTTTGAGATAGGCCTGTAGAACTATAAACTTCCCTCTCAGGACTGCTTTCATTGTGTCCCATAGGTTTTGGATTGATGTGTTTTCATTGTCATTAGTGTCCAGGATGCTTTTAATTTCTTCTTTGGTCTCATTGGTAACCCAATCAATATTTAATAACATGCTATTCAGCTTCCAAGTGTTTGAGTATTTTGGGTTGCTCTTATTGTAGTTTATTTCTAATATTATGCCATCGTGATCTGAGAAGATGCTTGGTATGATTTCAATCTTCTTGAATTTGGGGAGATTTTGCTTGTGACCCAATATGTGGTCTATTTTTGAATCTGTCCCATGAGCACTTGAGTGGAATGTATATTCCGCAGCTTTGGGGTGAAGTGTTCTGAAGATGTCTATTAAGTCCATCTGATCTAGTGAGTCATTTAGGATTGCTGTTTCTTTGCTGATTGTTTGTCTAGCGGACTTATCCATTGATATCAGTGGTGTATTAAAGTCCCCTACTATGATTGTATTTTGTCGATCTCTCCTTTGATATCTTCCAGGAGTTTTTTTATGTATTTGGGTGCTCCTGCATTGGGTGCATATATGTTTACCAGCGTTATATTTTTTTGTTGTATTGATCCCTTTAGTATTATGAAGTGGCCTTCCTTATCTCTTGTTATGGCCTTCACTTTGAGGTCTATTTTGTCCGATATAAGTATTGCTACCCCAGCTTTCTTTTCCTTTCCATTTGCCTGAAAGATATTTTTCCATCCCTTCACTTTCAGTCTGTGTGAATCCCTTCTAATGAGGTGGGTCTCTTGTAGACAGCAGACGTATGGGTCATGTTTTTTTATCCATTCAGCCACTCGATGTCTTTTGGTTGGAGCATTTAGTCCGTTTACGTTTAAAGTTATTATTGAAAGGTACTTGTTTGTAGCCATTTCTTTTTTTGTGTGGCTGTTTTCTTTCTGAGCTTTTTCTTTTTTCTTTTTACACCAGTCCCTTTAGCATTTCTTGCATTGCTGGCTTGGTGGAGATAAACTCCCTTAGCCTTTTTTTGTCTGTGAAGCTTCTTATTTCCCCTTCAATTTTGAATGATAGCCTTGCTGGATAGAGTATTCTTGGGTTCAGTCCTTTTGCATCACTTTGTAGATTTCCGACCATTCTTTTCTGGCCTGATGTGTTTCTGTTGAGAAATCATTTGATAATCTAATGGGAGATCCCTTGAATGTAACTTTCCGTCTCTCTCTTGCAGCCTGTAAGATTCTCTCTTTGTCCTGAACACTTGCCATGGTAATTATGATGTGTCTTGGTGTGGGTCTTTTTGGGTTCACCTTGTTTGGGACTCTCTGTGCTTGTGTGACTTTTTTCTTCCCCACCTCAGGGAAGTTTTCTGATATTATTTCTTCGAGTAGGTTTTCTAATCCTTGTTCATCTTTCTGTTGTTCTGGCACCCCTATTATTCGTATGTTGTTTCGTTTCATGTTGTCCCAAAGCTCCCTTAGGCTCTCCTCCTGTCTTTTAATTTTTTTCTCCAATTGCAGTACAGTTTGGGAGTGTTTTGCTTCCTTGTCTTCTAATTCACTAATTCGGTCCTCCGCTTCTCCTAGTCTACTGTTGATGCTTTCAATGGTGTTTTTTATTGCAGCTATATCGCTCTTCATTTCTTCTGGGTCTTGCATAAGTTATTGATTTTTTCATCTGTTTCTTCTTGCTTCTTGCATAAGTAGTTGATTTCTTTCTCCATCCGGTTTATGCATGCTAGGACCCTTATTCTGAATTCTTTTTCTGTCATGTTGAATGCCTCTGTCTCACTTAGCTGCTTTTCTGGCGAGTCCTCCTTTTCTTTCCTTTGGGGGTTTCTTTGCCTACCCATGTTTGATCTCACTGACATATCTAGATGTTGAGTCATTCAATGGCTGCTCCCTGGGTGGCAGTGGCTCCTTGGGCTGTGGTTACTCCTTGGGTGGTTGCGGTAGCAGCTGCTCCTCAGTTGGCAGCAGCTCCTCTGGTGGGTGCTGTTCACAGCTGGGGTGGCTCTTCTGGCTGGTGGGGGGAGGCTTCACCTACAGCTGTGTTCCTCAGACAGAGGGTGTGGTGATCAGGAGGCTGCTGTTGCTTGGATCTGCTGCGTTGATTTAAAGGCACAAAATACAACACAACAAGGCACAACGTACCAGGCACTGAACACAAATATATTCACGATATCAATAACCCCAAATAAAGGTGACCCCCCGAATTAAGAGAATTAGGGGGTAAGAAGGAAAGAAGAGAAAAAGATAAAAGAGAAAATAGAAAAGAAAAATGAGAAAGAAAAAAAACGGAGTGCAAAAATGAAATTGGGAAAAAAAGAGGGGGGGAAAAAGAAAAAGAAAAAAAAAAGAGCGAAAAGAGAGAATGAAGTAGAAGAGGGGAAGAGACTATTTGTATGAGGAGAAAACTCCGATAGAACTGCCACTAATCCCAACAAATTCCAGCAACAGATCCCTGGAGATGAATGCAAACTACAAACAACCAATGATATCAAGAGAGGCAAGGGAAAACAGAAGCACAAAAATAGCTGGGGGGTGGGGGAGGGGTGGGAGGGGAAAACCAGCAGATAAAAAGAAAAAGAAAAAGCAAAACAACTTCACAACGAGTCCTAAAAAAGAAAAAAAAAGAAAAACACAAAACAAAACAAGCAAAAAAAAACACACACACAAACAAAAAAACAATATATTCAACCATCAAGCAAACAGCAAGAAAACAATAGAAAGATAAGAGAAAAAAAATGTTTGGATAGTGAAGAAGGATAAGGGATAGCTGTATAAGGATTTAGAGCAGTGGATTGGAAATAGGATATATAAGAAGGGTGAAATTGGACAGGGGGTAAAAAGATGGAATAGGGAAAATCTAAAGCAGGAATAGGGTAAGAGAAACAGGACACCAAAAGGGGAAAAGTGAGGAAGAGGGTTTTAGCATAGCGGTAAAATTGAGGTGGGGAAAATTGATGCTAAAGGAACGATGAAAATAGAATGGAGAACACTACTCCCAAAATAAAATAAAGAGAAAATAAAATGGCACTTTAAAAAATGGTAAAATGGTAGCAGTAATAATACTGGTTAAAAATAAAAATGTAGTAATTAAAAGGGTAAAATCAGGTGATGGAAAAAGAAGAAAAAGACAGAAAAATTGGTTTCTTAGTTGAAAGGCGAAAAAAGAAATAAAAATTTGCAGTAGTGAAGGTCCTTCTGTTCTTCTACTCGTCAGCCTGGCTCGCCTTAGTCCTGCCAGGTATTCAGGAGAGTGTTGAATTTCCCTGCGATACACTGTTCCTCCGTATTGTAAATCACAGTCCTGATTTTAAAGCAGGCCGTATTTGTGAATCAGACTGCCTATATTTATGTTCACCTAAGAGACAGTTGTGGCTCAGCCTCTGGGTGGCAGTGCTTTGGGGTTGGCCTCTGAGGCTATAAGGCTTCTCTACCCAGCAGCAAGGTTTTATTTTCTCTATTGCACTTAAAACTGGTTTGGGGAGGTCAACTACCCAGAGCTGGTTCTTAAATAATCGTTACCCTGCTCTGCTTTGTTTTGCTAAGAACCACAAAATTGCTCCTGGAGATATTACCTCAGTTTATATAAGTAGCATAGAGATGTTTAAAGCCCCACTGTGCGCTGATTTCACAGAGCCTGTGAACAAGCTTTCTGGAAGTTTACTTTTCCCAACACGCCTGCTGGCGTGGCCTTCCTGTGAGCATGAGCTGTGCCCGTGTCTGGCGTGTTAACTGGCTGCACTCTCCCCGCAGATGACAGCGCCCAGCCCACTGCCTCCTCCACTCCCGGCCGTGCCAAGAGGAATGCCTTAGTCCGGGGTAAGAACGTTATTTTTTTGAAATTGCTGCCAGAAACATAACATGTTAACAACAGAAGTGGGATGGACATTAGAACTGTGCTTTGCAACAATTACACCAGCTTTTCAGACTCTCGAGTCTGTCAGTACTTTTCCCGTTGTCCCGGAAGAGGGCGCGGTGAGCTCGATCATGTCTCTGTCTCTATCGCTGGCCCAGCAGCACCCCCTGCCTCTCGCCCCGCCTTCCTGTTTGTTCAGACACCAGCCCCCGCGTGTGGGCCTCAAAACGCGTGTCACCCAAACCGGAACATCCACGGGAACGAAAGGAGATGCTTCAAGATGTGACTTATATATTTTAAATATATATGTGCTGACAGGAAAGTGGCTTTGCAATTGGATTGTAAATTAGTTTTATCCTAACAATCTTTCAACATGTTGGGACACGATATACAAGAAAAAAAAAGCAATAGATCTCCCACAGGCAAAGATATCCAGGCGGCACAGGCACCAGATGGAAAGATAGGGATGGGTGGGTGGGTAGTCACAGAGATCATACAGGACTCAGAGAGAATATGAAATAAAATATAATATAATGAAATATAACAGAATAAATATAATACAATTAATATAATAATATAATTAGTATAATTATTATAATCACTTTGTTAATGTGTTAGTACATTAATATAATATATACAGGGTGGGTAAAATATATTAATAATAATAAATAGTACAATAATACACAAAGATAACACAAGAATAAACTATACTTCCCACGCTCACAGCTCTAACCCTTTGCCCCCCATAGACAGTGAGCTGCCGCCACATTAGCCACCAGAACGGTTGCTCCCTCTGCAAAGCCCACTTAGCACCCCCACCGCCCCCCAGAGGCAGCCAGTGTTTCACAATGTGTCTCAGACCCAGAAGCGTGGAAACTCCCCGAAGAGCCCACCCTGCCGCCCGCGTGGCAGCCGAGCCTCACGCTGAGCTCTGAGCAGCTGGCTCCCAAATAGACACGACAAGACAAAAATTATACCAGGATGCGTCCGGCCCTCCTTCCTGGGAGAGCGGGCGAGACACAGAGAGAGCCCTCCTGGCCAGGTCCGCCCCTGGCTCCAGGCCCCTGCCCCTGGCTCCAGGCCCCTGGCTCTGCCAATCCCTGTCCTCCCGGCCGGTCTGCTCTGTAACAGGTGGCTGGTTAGCCCCAGTCACAAGAGTTCTCCAGGGAAGTGTTTCTAAAACTTAAACAACTTGCAGATCCCTTTACAAGAGAAAAAACACAGGCTTCCCATTCGTAGACCAAGATGTTTGGAATGACACGCATTTTACATGAACAAGGAAGAGAGTAGGAATGCTCTCTCATGCCTGTGACTATCACACAACCTCACAGCAACGCGTATCCAACAATGAACAAAATACAAACTAAAAACTAATAGATTAACAAGACTCATTGGATGCACATGTTCTTTGCTAAAATAAACTCCCTATTGTCCTACAGGTTTGGCTCATGGATAGAGCATCAGCCTTCAGACTGAAGGGTCCCAGGTTCGATTCTGGTCAAGGGCACGTGCCAGGGTTGCGGACTCGATCCCCAGTAGGGGGCGTGAAGGAGGCAGCCGATCAATGATTCTCTCTCATCATTGATGTCTCTCTTTCTCTCTCTCCCCCTCTTTCTTCCTCTCTGAAATCAATAAAAATATATTTAAAATAAAATAAAATATACTCCCTATTGAAATATGAATTTGGGATTGACTATATAGGACAAGTGAGGAATGGAGGAGGAAGAGGTTAGGAAAGCCTGGCTATGCGGCGCTGTGTGAAAATAAATGCCCGACCTTTTCCTTCTTGAATACTGGACAATCCCGCAGGAGTGCATTTGGGGAACATTGCTATAAGACGGTGCTGATAGAAAAACCCCACCCTGTCTTTTCTAGGGACATTATAAAGGAATAGAGGCCCGGTGCACAAAAATTTGTGCACTGGTGGGGGGGGGGTGTCCCTCAGCCCCACTTGTGCCCTCTCACAGTCTGGGACCCCTCAGGAGATAACGACCTGCTGGCTTATGCCCACTCCCGGGTGGCAGAAGGCAGGCCCAATCCCTAGGAGCAGCCCTGGTCAGGCTCAGAGCAGGGCCGATCCGGGAGTTGGGGTGCCACCCCCTGTCATGCTTAGGGCAGGGCCGATCTGGGGGTAGGGGCACCGCCCCCTGACACGCACAGAGCAGGGTCAATCGGGGGGTTGGGGTGCCGACGCCTGTCACGCACAGAGCATGGCCGAACATGGAGTTGGGGTGCTGCCCCCTGTCACACAGAGAGCAGGGCCGATCAGGGGGTTGGGGAGCTCCCCCCTGTCATGAACAGAGCAGGGCAGATGTGGAGGTTGTGGCGCCTTCCCCTGTCACACACAGAGCAGGGCCTATCAGGGGTTGGGGCGCTGCCCCCTGTCACCCACAGAGCAGGACAATTGGGGGGTTGGGG